GAAGAAAAAGAAATAGACAAGAAGTGAGCTAGAACATAGGCATCAACAAGCCAGTGCCAAGGACATAAGCGAGGATTTTTCTCTCTCTAGAAAGCAAGAAAGAAAAAGAAATGCGAGAAAAAGTCCTATTCCAATTATATAGAAACCGACAACAACGCATGACATATTCTTTGCTCTGCCTTTTGCTTTATACACATACAAACTTCTAACGACATTGGTAGCTATATTTACATCTTATAATGGCGTCAAAATCGTCTGTATCATCAGGTTTACGTCAAGCATTTGATAAATATTCTAAATTTGGCAAAACTCATGCTCAATTAGCAGATCATAATGAACTTCGAATAGGTTCAGCACAGATACAAAAAATGATGAAAGATTGCTCATTGATTAATTCCAAATATACATCTCAGTTATTAGACAATGATATTGCTCGTGTTCTTGGTAAATTAACAACCGGTGCAGCAGAACCAGGTGCAGTTCATTATCCAAAAGGAACGTAAGTAAAGAAAACAATAACAATTAAAATTTTCTTTTTTTTTGTTTTCTAATTTAGAAAAACATTTGATATAAAAGGTTTTAAGTTGTTAATTGACCGTATTGCTGAATCAAAAGGTGTTAGTCATGATGAAGTTTTAGGTAAAATTAATCAGAATGAAGGTCCAAGCCTTACAAATGTAACCGAAATTGCTAATAAGGAAATAACAGATCGAATGACAGATACGTCACAATATACGTAATTATATCAGAAAATTGTTTAGCAAATTATCGTTAATAATATATATTTCTTGTAGAGGTTCACATAAAGAACGTTTTGACGAAGAAGGACATGGTAAAGGCAAGGAAGGTCGTACAGATGATGCTGATACAACAGGTTATGTTCAAGGTTTTAAAGGTGGCAATTAATTATTACAATAATAGACAATATATTTAACTTCTTTTTTTTCTTTTTCTCTAATTATACAATGATTTGTAATCTAACAAAATATATCTAACACTATCTGTTTTGTAATTATTTAGTCTTTTTATTCGACAGATTATAATACAATGTAATCAAAACAAATTTCTGTTTTCTATTCCATATATATATATATATACATATGTTTTATTATTTTCTAAACGTGATTTTTCTTTCTTATTAAAAAAAGAAATGTGCAGATAGAACAGGAAAACAAACAAAAAAATAAGATGTGAATTGTATAAATAAGTAAAACAAACTAACAAATAGTTGTTTCACTTATTTTCGATTTAATACTTATATTCGATGTATCACGTGCGATAAATGGATTCGGTTTTCTCTGTTTAATATTTCGTTGTTGAGTTGTATCAACATCTAAAAGTAAATCTTTATATCCATCAGCATCAACAGGCATCATCGAAACTCGTCGAATTGGTTGAGGATGCCAAACATTTGATGCTCGTGTTAATGGTCGCATATGACGAAATACTTCTAAATCTTCAAAATTAATAAATGATGGTCGAGCACGGAGTTCAGCTAATTCGGAACGACGCATTGGTTTTCTATCACCAGTTAATCGTTGTGGTACTGATGATGGAATAGGAAATTCACTTATTACAAATTGTGGTGGTGGAGGTGAAGGTGGACGTGATATTGTAGCATTTAAATCTGCTGTATTTTGTGTTGAACTTAAATTAATATTTTGATTTGATGTTGATAATGCTTTTGGTCCTGATAAATCAATATCACGTTCCCATGCAAGAGTTTCAAGCATATGATCAAATTGTGCTTTTGGTTTAAGTACAACAGATTGATGTGATACACGACGAAGACGAACATTATCCGCTGTTGCTTCTTGTTCTTTTAATAAATAAAGAACTAGTTTTCCTATACGCTAGAAACGAAAAAACGAAATTCGTAGACTATTAAAGATAAGACATCATTTATAACATATCATAAATATGATTAACGATTATTTTATGATCTGATGTTTTTAGTCAACCTTGAAGAAAATCGTTTTTTTATCATTTTATTTAAATATTTACCTTCCAATTACTAATCGCTCCTTTTCTTTGAACTGCTTTACTTTTTGTAGCTCGTTTTATAACCATTAAATCACGTTTATCATCATTACCAATCGCATAGTGACCTTGATAATCAAATCGTTGTTTTGCAGAACATGATCTTTCAATAGTTAAAACTAATTGAGCCCACTACGAAAAAAAGAAAGTAAGAAAAAGAATAATTATTAAAATATTGTCAATACCTGTCGTACACGTTCTTTTTCACTAACTGCAATAACACGTTGATATGTATTACCCATTGAAGCAATTAACATATTTAATAAAAGTATAGGTGTTAATATCATAAAAACGACAAATAAACATTTAACTAAATAGGAATAATGTGTTAAATCAAAACGAGAAAACTAAAAATAAATCGAGAATAAGAAAATATGAAAATTTAATAAGTAAATTTTACATCAAATTCTCCCATTGTAAAATGAACCATTGTCATCCAAGCTTCAAAATTTTGAAATGAACACATCTTATCAATTTCACATGTATCATTTAATGCTGCGCGTTCACAATTGCCACCTTCGGTTGTATCACGAAATAATAAATAAAAAACTAAAATCAAAAAAATATTCATCCAGTTGTTTTTTTTGGTTATATATATACCTTGACCAAATGCTGTTATAACAATAACATAAATAACACCAAATGTAGCTATATCACCTGTAATCATTTCAAATATCATAACAATAAATGCTCCTGTTAATGCATAAATTCGCCCAAAAAATAGAAAGAATAGAAATGTTCCAGGAACAGCAAGTGATACAAGACCATCTTCAACATAACCAAATGTAACATTATCTGTTGTTAAATATAATATACGAAATGGTACAGCTAAGATTATAAGTATGCATGAACATTGATATAATAATTTTTCAGGATAACTTTTCTATTAACAAAAAAAAGCATGAAAAAAAAAAATTACATATATGTATATAATATTTACTAAATTTTGTATATAATAATTAAAACCTTGTAAATAAATTTCTTTTGCTTGTAATGCAAATATACTTATTATACAACCACATAAAACGCAGAATTCAGCAATATGACAAATAATTTTTCGTGGAAATGTTTGAGTATCTTTTGGATTACGTAAACAAACAGCTGTAGTTAATGATAATAAATGTAAACAAAGTAAAATTAATTGTCGAACAAAATTAACCTTAAATTAGAAATATGAATATATATTTTATAAAGATAATTATTTACTCGAGCAAATGATGACCATTTATCATTTAATAAACGTTCAATGACCATATTGTCAAGCATATCTAAATGATCTTCCGTTTTCCCACTGACAATTGACATTAATGAAGAATTCCAGTCTTTAAAAAAAAATGTAAGAATAACAAATTTAAATATAACAAAAAAAAATAATTTTCAAGTAAACCTATTTGACCACCGTCAGTTATTGTATCAATACCACGAAGAGGATATGTACAACATTTTATATTTGAATAACGCCATATTTCCTTTTAAAAGAATAATCAAATGTAAATAGTATTTTAATGATTTATTACTAACTACGTGATCTTTAGCAAATTATGAAAGAACAGAATTTTAATTTTTATTGCTAATGAGAGCGAACAATTCACTATGTAATTTTCTCAATACTATATGAGATATTCTTATAACTTTAGTGTCATGTTTTCAAATATATTGAATAACAAAATATGTCTATCGTATAAATTTAGAATAAAAACATATTTCCATACAAATTATTCTTTCTAATGATGTGTTTCTTATTACTTGAAAACAATGATAGATATTTTAAATAATTCTTTACCACATGGGATAATTCGAGAGATTCAATAAAAATTTCTCTACGACCAAGTTTAGCCGCTAATGTTAATGGAGTTAAATCTGAATTATTTCGAACGTCAGTACGAGCTTTTTTTGATGAATGTCGAATGGCATGTTTAAACATTTCCTAAATTATAAATATATTTTATTCATAGATTCTGTCGAAAGAAACCATTACCATTTGATCTCGGATAACGAGTACATGTAAAACTGTATTCCCATATGTATCTTGCATATTTGGATCGGCACCATGCTCAATTAAATAATCATATATTTCTGTATGACCAAATGCAGCAGCAAATGCCAATGGATATTCACCAAAATATGCATGACCTTTGAAAAACAAACTTTAGATAGAACGAATAAAAATGAGTGTTTATTTACTTTCAGGATTACTAGTTTGAGGATTGAATTGTTTTTGTACTGTCTCAGTACGACGAAATTTTTTTCGTCTACCACTCTTCGCTTCATCTGTAGGTTTTTTTTGTTCGGAAACATAATCTCCAACAACACGTTTATTAACATCAACACCATGTTTTATTAAAAGTTTTACAGAATTTATATCATTATAAACAACAGCAATATGTAATGGAGTTTCTCCTAAGATGTATATCATTAATATTTATCAAAATAAGTTCTAGGAAAATAATTTACTAACCTATAACTGTTAATCGTTCAGGATTTTCTGGTGTAGAAATGGATGCAAGACCTGTTGCACTTTTTTTGTCAACTTCATTCTGATTATTTGATGAACTTTTATCAACTGGTCCTGTATGTGACGGACGTACTGTAACAGATGGCCGATGAAGATCATGACTATTAATAGCAACTGGTCGTCCAAAAACATCAAGTAATGCGGAATTTGGAATTTTAATTGCCTTCATATATTCAAAAAGTAATGATGGAAATGATAATCAACAGAAATCGATAATAACAAAAGAGAATGCCATGTGTTTCTCTTTGGAAAAAAAGAAGTTTTTTTTTATTTAGTTATGGCCGAAAATGAGTTGTTGAATAGCATGAAGAGAGACTAGGCAAAGAAGTAGACGGGAATGACAAGGAGAAGAAAATTTTTTCTTATGCTGTTATTCAATTATGAAGAGTTTACCTTCATTCATTTCAAAATTTTCTTCGTTCATCACAATGCATACAGAGAACCTCTTAAAAAAGGGAAAGAAGACTAAAGGAAAATGCGTATGAGTTTTTTTTCTCTCTCTCGTTTACTCAAACTGAATACACCGACAAAGGCATGAAATAAATCAAATCAGTGAATTTTTTTTTCTTGTTCTTTCTATTCTCATTCTTCTTCTTCAGTGTAGTCTATTCGTCTTCTGTTTCTTCTTTTAGTTATCGTCGTCTTAAATAGTTCAATTAACTTTACTATAGACGCCCGAGATTGTTGTTCCTATTTCCTTTCATTACAACTAAACCAAACATAGGAAAAGCAGATTGTCTATTGTTATTATGTTTGTTGTTACCTTTTATTATTATTATTATTATTATTATTAACTATGATTGAATTTTGTTGTTGACTATTTTCTGAAATAATAATTAATAGTTTTTTGTAAATATATGCTAAGTAATTGATTAAATTTCTCAATTGATATTGATCGTTTAAGAATAAATATCCAATAGGCAGGTAAACTAGAAAGAAGACGATCAGCATTGTTAAAAAGTGCAAATAAATACATTGTGCAACAAAACTGCTACGTTGAAAACATTCTTTTAAGAATGCACAAAAAAAA